CATGCATCTTTCTGTTATGCAGGCTTTGATTGAGAGCATTCCGTTGAAGCAACAGATCTTCCAGGACCAGGAGGAGGGTGTGCAAGCCTGCGCGTATTGAGACATCTCACAACAACGAAAAGTACAATCCCTATGTGCATTCTCCTCTGATGCAGGCTGTGATTGAGAGCATCCCATTGAAGCAGCAGATCTTCCAGGACCTGGAGAGGGTTGTGCAAGCCTGCATGCATCCTCTCGTCCAACACGTCAACCATCGATCTCAACGTTGTTGGCGCCAAGACTCGCTCCCAGGATCGCATCATCGGCGCACACTTCTTCAGGTAATCGGATTTTGTGACGTGCGAGACAAAGGGGTCTCGTGGCCCTGCAGTACGAGATCATGCAAGGTATGCTGCTGAGGATTTGCTGAGGATTTGCAAGGTATGCTGTTGAGGAGTTGCCTCATGCTGTCAGTAGAAGCAGCAGATCTTCCAGGACCTGGAGAGGGTGTGCAAGCCTGCATGCATCCTCTCGTCCAACACGTCAACCATCGATCTCACGTCGTTGGCCGCCAAGCCTCGCTCCCAGGATCGCATCATTGGCGCACACTTCTTCAGGTATTCCGGATTTTGTGACGTGCGAGACAACAGGAGGCTCGTGGCCCTGCAGTAAGAGATCATGCAAGGTATGGTGCTGAGGATTTGCAAGGTATGCTGCTGTGGATTGCCCTCATGGTGTCAGTAGCAGCAGCAGATCTTCCAGGATCTGGAGAGGGTGTGCAAGCCTGCATGCATCCTCTCGTCCAACACATCAACCATCGATCTCAACGTCGTTGGAGCCAAGACACACGCTCCCAGGATCGTATCATTGGTCCACACTTCTTCAGGTATGCAGGATTTTAAGTCGTTTCAAACTAATCTCTATATGTCTCATAATCGAGCTTTGGGAGGTCTCAAAAACAGGATCGCATCATTGGCGCACACTTCTTCAGGTATTCAGGAGCTGCGTCAATCAGAGAGCCTGTACGATTTTCAGCGTACCTGTGTGTGTGTACCTGTTGTGGTTTGGGGGATGCATGTTGGCAGCTCCTGGTCCAATACTCATCGCTGAGATGGCGTTTTTACAGGCAAGGCAAAGCCAACCCTTCAAAACACCCCAACTCTTGTTTCCCGAACACCCCAACCCCTGAACATTTGTTGTCGGTCAGTTCAGTCCTCCTGCCCATGAGCTGCCACTGCTGGAGGTCCTCCGCACAGTTTCAACTCTCAGTGCTCCTTTTTGCCATCGTTAAGCCTCCATATGCTCTCCTGCTCTCCCCTCCCCTCTAACCACTCCAGCCCTGCCCACGTGATGCCGCTGCTGGAGGTGGTTCGCACGGACAAGGCCTCCCCGCAGGCCATCCTGGATCTCATCACCCTGGGCAAGACCATCAAGAAGACGCCAGTGGTGGTGGGCAGCTGCACGGGCTCTTCGAATGAACTAACCAGTCTATATCTTTTTCTGTTCTCCTACTCTCCCCCTCTCACGCCGACCCCGCGCAGCCCTGCGCACGTGATGCCGCTGCTAGAGGTGGTTCGCACAGACAAAACTTCCCCGCAGGCCATCCTTGACCTCATCACTCTGGGGAAGAACATCAAGAAGACGCCCGTGGTGGTGGGCAACTGCACAGGATTTGCTGTCAACCGTGTCTTCTTCCCCTACACCATGGCCGCCTGCCTGCTCGTGGACCTGGGGGTAGACCTGTACCGGATTGATCGGGTCATCAAGGCCTTCGGCATGCCCATGGGACCCTTCAGGTGATTCCGCCCCTTCCTCCCTTGGTGTTCCGTATCTGTAAGGCTGTAACCAGTAAGGCAGTCAACCGCGTGTTCTTCCGCTACACCATGGCGGCCTGCCTGCCTGCTCGTGGACTTACGGGTGGACCTCTACCGGATTGACCGGGTCATCAAGGCTTTCGGCATGCCCATGGGACCGTTCAGGTGACCAAGCCTTGCCTTTGAATCCGTGTTTGCATTCGCATTCCCTGTCAGCTATTGGCTTACATCGAGATTATGTTGTTTCTCATCCCAACCTGAGTGCTCCCTGTTATGGTATTGTTATGGCGTTTGCGACCAATGGTGCTCTGTCACAGGCTGGCTGATCTGGTGGGAATGCAAGTGGGGCAGGCAGTGGGGACGCAGTTCGTCACTGCCTTCCCTGAGCGGGCCTACAAGGCTGCACTCATCCCGCTCCTGGTTGAGGCCAAACGTTTTGGTAAGGCTCCCTGCACACCTGGTTCGCAAGCCTTTCTTCGTTTTGCAAGCTTCAGGACTCCATGCACGGTTATTCTCTCAGCTGTCTTTTGCCGTTCATTGTGCCACTGCCACAGGTTGTTCGTTCTTTCTGATCTTGGTCAGCCCAAAGTAGAGCTTGTTTTGGTTTGTTTTGTGTTCTGTTTTGTTTTGTTTTGTTTTGTTTTGTTTTTGTTTGTTTGTTGTTTGTTTGTTTGTTTGTTTCCCATCATCTCGTTCCTGCATGAGCAGGGGAGAAGTCAGGCAAGGGCTTCTATCTCTACGACAGCAACAGGCGGCAGCGCCCGGACCCGGCGATCAAGGAGTTTGTGGAGCAGGGCAGGGAAGTACAACAACATCAAGGCGGGCGGCCAAGCCCGTGGCAGTATCTGACAGGGACATCGTGGAGATGATCTTCTTCCCCGTGGTGAACGAGGCGTGCCGTGTGCTGGACGAGGGCATCGTGGTGCGCGCTTCGGATCTCGACATTGCTACGGTCATGTCCATGGGCTTCCCCCCCTACCGGTGAGTGTGTGGTGACATTTCTTCCCTTCCTAGTGGTCAGTGAGAGACTGGCTCTCCTCCCTACAGGTGGTTGGACGAGTGTAGATATTCCCTCCCTTCGTCTTGGTGAGTGTGTAGGGCTGTACTGTTGTTGTAGGCATGCACCCCGATTCATTGTTTTGTGCATCCCATGGTTTCTGCTACGAACCCCATTTTCCCAGTGGTGCTTTGTTATGTTTGAGGTTCGATCCTGCAGTGCTCGTCTATATGCTGTCATGCTCAGCTTTTGTAATATTATTTTTCCTCCTATTGTTATTGTTCTTGCCCTTTCTGGCTTCCAGGGGTGGCCTGGTCTTCTGGGCTGATCTGGTTGGGGCAAAGTACATTGCGGATCGCCTCACCACATGATCACAGGCCTACGGGAGGCTTCTTCAAGCCTTGCAACTACTTGCTTGAGCGAGCAGCTCGAGGCGGCAAGCTGGTGAGTGAAAACAGTCGCTGCATTGTTGGATTCATTGATGAAAGTCCTTATTTGTGATTTTCTTTCCTTTTTTCTTTGTCTTCTTTCTTTGCACTTTTATGGCGTATGGTTGGAATCATTATTGCGCCTGGTTTCTGCATCTTGCAGGGAGCAACCGAAGGGAGCGTCTTCAATGGCTAAGCTTTAAGTAATATGTTACAGGATGGTGGGCAAGCTATGTAGATGCTGCTGCTAGTGACTGATTGTTCAATGCTGATTGTATGCTCATTGTCCTCTGGTGTAGATTGGAGCTGAATAAGGTGATATACGTGGGTCAACGAAGGATGTACCTGGTGGAATTGTATGCTCTACAAATTCTCAGCATTGTAGAATAAATTCCTTGTTTAGGTGAAGGTTCACAAATCTGATCTGAGTGGAAAGGTGGTCGACTGACAGCATAATTCTTGTCGCTGACGGCCATACGAGTTTCGCAGCCGTCATGTGCGATTACTGTCCCACTATATGTCATCAGCGAACTGTCAACGAGTTCAATAGCACAAGAAAGAGTATCCAGCCCAGTCCCAAGGATTCATGTTGTCAGAAGTTGTGGTTCAGAAGTGTAACAAATGTACTTTTCTAGACGGTCCAGTACGTTACAGTGTGGTGATTCGCGTCTTCCACTTGCACAGCCCCCCCCAACCAAACCCAGGGCAGAACTTGCAGTCAATGGAAGCAGGCAAGCGTCCAGCCAATCGCGAAGTGGAAGGAGGCTCGCATCATGTGAATGTGTGGCTTGGTTGGTTGGTAGTGGTGAAGTGAAGAGAGAGGGGGAGGGGACAAGAAGCTTTTCCTACCTCTTCTCTTCTCCGTACCGAACCAGAACAGCAGAGTACACGTATGCTCTCTTCTCAGCCATAGGTCTTTCAGAAATAGTTTCCCCTCTTTTACGACTGGCCCCAGTGTTCCTCTTGTTGGTGTCGTAGACGCTGTTTGGGAAGGCATTATTCAGCAGTAGCAAAGAAACAGGCTGTTAGGGTTTCGGTTTGTAGGAAGTATCCTTGCTGACCTTACCCGTTTTACCCTTGGCACCACTTCTACTGTCCACTGTCTCGTGGCAAACTTGGTTACACTGCAAGGACGTTTTTGCAGTTGCGACTTCCCATACAGACGATTGATAGGATTCGAATGTTGTCGAGATTCGTTGTTAATTAGACTTCTTCCCCTTTCGCTCCATTAGGGTTAGCAGCAGCAGCATCAGCATGGCTCACTTCCAGGACCCGTGGGTCAGAGAGTTCGAGGATGCCTCCAGGATGGCGGATGACGTGGCAGGACTCATTCAGGAAAGAAACGACGCGATAAAATCTAAAGGAGATCCATCGCGCCTCGTCGCTGCAGCTCGCCGAAAGATCGCTATGCTTATGGCGAAATCGGACCGTCTAGAAACGGGACTTCGAGCTGCAGCGGAGAAATCGCAACTGTAAGTTTATTGGAAGAGGTATTACGTGACAGGTTATTTTTCTTGTAGGACCGGGCGAGCAGCAGTTTTTGGCATTGAAAGACATAGCAGAAGATTGATGATAGTGACAGTCGACGCACGCGCGTGGTTGAATTGACAAGCTGCTAGCGGTCTGTCATAGTGGAAACCGTTCTTGTCATAGTGAAACCGCTTCTTCCGCAGATTCTGCGGCTTGGTGATTCCTCCGAGACACACGGCGTGAGTTCCGACTTTCGTTAGTCTTAGCTGCTCTCTCTGTTTCTCCCTTTCTCTCGCTCTCTCTCTCCCCCAGCAACTCCACGGAAATTCGGCGGCGGGAAGACCTGCTTCTCGCTCTCCGCTTCAAGGCGAAGGAGATGGCAGCCGTGCTCACCTCCGCGCAATCAGCGGCTAACAGGTTCGTCGTCGCCTTGATCTAACCTGAAGATGCGTATTGCCCCCCTTTTCCTCCCCCCCTCCCCCCTTCTCCTCCCCCCCTTCCCCTTCTCCTCCCCCCTTCCCCCTTCTCCTCCCCCACTTCCCCCTTCTCCTCCCCCACTTCGCCCTTCTCCCCCCCCTCTTCCCCCTTCTCCTCCCCCGCTCCCGCCTTCTCCTCCAGCCCCCTCCTCCCCTCCCTTTTTTGTATTTCTGAGTTTTATTCTCTGCCATGACTTGCGAATTTCGGTAGCATGAGAAGCGGGGTTAAATTTCTTGCTCGTGTCACGTCCGCCTGTGTCTTGTCCTGCCTCTGTCGCGTGCTGCCTTTTATCTCTTTAGTTTTTGCCAGTCAGTCGTGCACAGGTCACAGAGGCAGCTGCCTGACAGGCCAGCTGATGACAGGGACGAACCCTCCTTTTCTTTCCCTCTTTTCCTTTCCTGTGCGGGTTGGCCTGGCTAGGCTGTGACAGGCTAGGCTATGACCGGCTAGGCTGTGACAGGCTAGGCTGTGACCGGCTAGGCTGTGAGGCTAGGCTGTGACAGGCTAGGCTCTGACAGGCGAGCGTTGTTGACAGACACATACCCTCCGTTTCTTCCCCTCTTTCCCCACCGTGCAGGTCAGCCCTGCTGGGCCGTGACGGGCGGTCGCTGGTGGCGGTGGAGACGGAGAGAACAGCCTCGCGAGACAACAAGGGGCTCGTGGCTCTGCAGCAAGAGATCATGCAAGGCATGTTGCCGAAGACTTGCCGTCATGTCGTCAGTTTTTTTCCAATCTCCTAGCCAAGGTGCTACTTCCTGGCTCGTGTCTCGATTGCATCCAGTCACGTGAAGCCTCCTTAGAGTCAACGGGAGTGGCCACTTTCTTTTTGTTAAAAGAACCTTCTCTATTTTTCATTATTCACTTGCTGTTTGGAGCAGAGCAAGACTCGGAGCTGGAGGAGCTGGAGTCCACGGTGGCAACCACCAAGCACATAGCGCTCACCATTAACGGCGAGCTGGACCTGCATCGACATCTGCTGGTATGTGCTTTGTGCTTGCCGATAGTGTAATGAGATGTCTCGTCACGAGCGGTGGCAACCACCAAGCACATAGCGCTCACAATTAACGGCGAGCTGGACCTGCATCGACACCTGCTGGCATGTGCTTTCTCTTTACATTGTCGTCTCGTTGCTACCATTCGCACTGTATGACTGACGCATCACCGTGATACCGTTGTGAGCATTTAAGTGAGCCTTTGCTGCAGCAGAATCAGCTATGCTGACTTGTTGCGGTTCTATTGGCTGAAGCTGTGGCTGCACTTTCAATGACTGAAGCCTTTTCCACGTGTTTGTGTTTGAAATGGCTTTGCTGCCGGTGCACGTGTGCAGGATGATTTGGATGACAACATTCAGTCAACAAATGCTCGTGTACAGGTGGGCTGCTCGTTTTGCTTCTATCACACCCTCTACCCTCCTGGTCCCTCTTCCTATCTTTCTCTTCTTTCCCTCCCTTCCTCCTTCCCTTGTCGTTTGACGCTTTTGCGGCTTTCCTTTTCTCTCTTCCACAATTCAGTTAAAGACTGGGACACATATGTCGTGTTTCAATGCCACACTCTCTCCCTGATTGACACTCTACAGCTGGCTAAGAAGAAGATGTCAATATTCATGCGCCGATCGGACAACACATGCAACATGCTGCTCGTCATGCTAGTAGCTGCAGGGCTGGTATTCGTTGCACTTGTAGTGTATTCGATTCTCAAGATTGTTTTGTGACATCAGATTACAATGCAGACACATTGTATTTCTGAGTCCTGTACAGCTGATTATGCTCTGCCATTGCTAAAAATAAAGAAATGGACTCAGATGCTGTGGTCTGGTCAGTGCTATTTAACCAGAATTTTATCTTCTGCTGTGCAGTGAACAACCGTGCTATTTGCCCCGTCCGTCTCGTGTGCCTCGGTCAACCGTTTCTTCTTGTTTCCCGTGGCATGTATGTGGACGAAATCAACAACTCTGCCACGTCGCTAATCTGTAATTTGCAAAATCGAAATGCCGGTTGTATCCTAACTTTCAGCTGCCTGTACAGTAAAAGATTCTCTCCCTGCGACAGCGGAAGGAGTAGTCTCGAGGTTTATTGCGGAAAATAGTGACAGGAGCATCACGGAAGAAAGTTGGGGGAAGTGGGAAGAGAAAAGGAAAAGGAATTATGGAGGGAAGGAACACACGCGGTAGGAAAGCTGAGCGGGTTTGATTGGTGGAGGAAGTCAATGGAACTCGTCGTCTACTGTACATGAACCTGTACCGTGGAAAGGGAAGCTTTCACGGAGCAGGAACTTGGTACGCCTAGACCTCGCCAACTTCACTAGGGCCAATTTCACCCCCCTGTGTAAACTTTTATGGTTTACCCGATGCCGAAGAGTTGTTTCAAAGACATTTGTTTTTAAAGGGGGAACTAATGGTAGTATATGCGCGCTCATATTGGTTGTTGGGCAACCCTTTATCGCCTAAATATATGGTCGTGAATTATATGACCGTGCGTGATTGGACGCGCATTGCCAAAAAGGGCAAGAAGCATATAATCGACCAATCGTGCGCGGTCAATAATATGTTCGTGCATTTATGCTCTGGCGTTGCAGTTTATGATCGCTGATGTAATTGCCCGCGCGCTCATTGGTCGCGCATTGGGCCGAAAATGACCGCGCATCTACTGTTGTGCGAACGAGGAATTTCGGGGGTACGAACCCTTGTAGGGTTATGTGCCAGGGAAAAAAAAACACCTCGAAAATGCCCTGGCATGGCCACTCGAGCAATTATCACGGAATTGGATGGCCACTCGAGCAATTCGGGGACACGTGGGCAAGAGCGAATCACCAAACAAGGCACTGGAGCAATTCTCTCCTGTACCGCACTTTAACAGTTCGTTCAATTGCGCTCCGCTTTGCAGTGTGCTGCACTCGTCGCTCCAGCCCCTCATTCCTATCACATCACATCGCATGTCCTCGCGGGTGTCAATAACTCTCTCCTTATAATTGCGTCTTCCTACTGGTCGCATCTCATCAGCTGGTCCATTCTCTTGGCCACAGCTCCACTCTCCCGATCACAGGCTACGTGGAACCCTAAATTATTCATACAGCCTTTCACGCACACGATCTTCCTGGTCTCTCGTTATAACCTAATTCAACGACATCTAGATTCGTTTGCTTTAATCATATCAATATTATAGTAAAATGGCGAACGCAGCGGCTGAGTGTGAGGGCGTGCCGATAACTCTCCCCAATGCCGCCCATAATCGCCAGAAGCTTCACAACTCCTTCCATCCGCAAGTCGCGGCCAGCCCGCAAGTCATAGGTTTCACCCCGCGCTTCGAGGTCGGCGCGCAGCTCGGTGAAGGCTCCTACGGCGTCGTTAACGTTTGTCACGAGAAAGCCGTGTTGACACGTCAGCTGTCACGGCAACCTAGCTACGGCGCAAGCAGGCTGCATCTTCATCCGGGCGCCGCCGCCGCCGTCGCCGCAGTTGATGGAACTGCCGCGGCTGCCGGAAACGGCGCCGCGAAGGGCGCCGCGGATGGCGGAGGAGGCGGCGACAGCGACGAGGAGAACGGGGTCGAGCGACCGGAGATTGTGGCGAGCGTGGAGCGGGTTGAAGCGACCGAGGCGGCGCTTCTTGCGGCGCGAATCGCGGCGGAAGACGTGGCGGGAGACGCGGAAGGGAAACAACCACCACTTCCGGCGAAGACCGCGCCGGAACCGCCAGCCGCGGGAAAGATGTACGCGTGTAAGACGGTGGATAAGATTCTCAACGTGGAAGGCGGCGCGGCGACTCAGAAGCGGTTGTCTGCTCGCGATATAGAGGTGCGCGTTAGCGCGCTCAAGCACGAGATTAAGGTGCTCAAACACGTGGGTTATCATCCGAACATTGTGAAAGTTGTCGGAGTGTACAATAACGAGAAACGGTTGCGACTCGTTATGGAGCTGTGCGACGCGGGAGATCTGCTGGGGCTTCTAACGAATCCTCCCAAGAAACCGCAGGCGGAAGTTAATAACGGGGATAACGGTGCGAGTAAAGAGGGTGATTCTAACAAAGGAGCAGCAGGCAACGAGACCAAGCCTGAAGAGACCCGAGGGAAACCTTTCACCAAGATTTCGCAATTTTTCAAAGGGCTGGCCAAGGGGACTACCGACCCAAAAACGGGGCTAACAGCAGGGGCTGCTAAGAACGGGGACAACAGCAGCAGCAGTGGCAGTGCACAGCCCGAAAAAATGCTACAAACGGGGCTGTCGGAACGGCAGACGGCTCTGATGTTCCGGCAGCTGGTAAAGGCTGTGGAGCACTGCCACTCGCGGCAGGTGATTCACCGTGACATCAAACTGGAAAACGTTCTGCTCAACCACTGCTGTTGCTGCAAATGCAAGCCTGCTGGCTCAGACGGAGGAGCACAGGAGAATGGAAACCAGCAGCAGCAGCAGCAAGGCGAGCCGTCTACCTGTTCGGGTTACGTCGTTAAGCTCGCGGATTTCGGCCTGGCGAAGCTGCTGCAGCCAACACAAGCCATGGCGAACGGCAACAAGGGCAGTCAGCTGTACAAGGCACCTGAGGTGGCGCAGAGCCGGTGGTATACCACCCAGGCGGACATGTGGTCTCTCGGCGTGGTGCTGTACGCTTTGCTAAGTGCGAGGTTTCCGCCGAGGGATGCCCAGGGGATGGTGGCGTGGGAAGCGGTTTCGGATCAGAGGTTGTTGTTTAAAGGGGGGAGCTGGAAGGAGGTGAGTGAGGAGGCGAAGGCGCTAGTGGGTGTGCTGCTGTCTTGGGATCCAAAGGGGAGGTTGGATTGTGGCGAGGTGTTCAATCACCCATGGCTGGTGCAGCACTGCAGATGAGAAAGAGGAGAGGAGCGAGGGGAGATTGGTTGGAGTGGGAAGGAGCAGCGGCTGTATTGTGGCGAGGTGTTTAACCACCCGTGGCTCGCGCAGCACTGTCGATGAGGGGGGAGAGGATGAGGGATGAGGCAATGTGGAGGAGAGAATGATGCAACAGGTGTAGAGGGTTAGATAGGCAGCTGCCTCACTTCACTTCATTTGCCTGCTGTGTCGTCTCTTCCTTCTCCCTGGAACCTTGAACAATCAGTACTGTGGTGAGTGCTGCAAATAGCACTTGCCTTTCTTGATTTATACCTGATGTTTTTATTAATTTTGAAGTGCACTGCATTACCGAACAAGTATGCTAGTAGTGTGACATAAACGACCCCGCTATACAATGAATAAATCCACCATGGGTGATGGTCTAGATTGAGAACAGGCCAGTGTTCACTGCATGCAGCCTGGTTGGGGAAGAGTAGAGACAGCTGGAGTGGGGGGGGCTGAGTCAGGAAAGAGACAGGAGTGAGCATTGCATTGCCAGTACACTGCAGAATTCTCAAGAGCTGGACTGGGGGGTTGCTAGCTTTGCCGAAGGTCTGCTTATGTGCTGCACAACGGTAGAGGCTTGGAGCAGACAGGGAGGACATGGAGGAACAGATGGAGCCGCCGTAGGGTGCAGCAGTCAGAGGGCTGCGGGGTGGGGTCAGCGACATTGAGATTTCTCAAAAACCAGCTTGGAGCAGACGAGGAGGACATGGAGAATCAGATGGAGCCGCAGAGTGCAGCAGGCAGAGGGCTGGGGGGGTGCTGGGGCCGGCACTTTTTAGGCGCCTTTTTAGACGGAAGTAGCCAGACGGAAGCAGCACGGGAGGATCAGGCGGGCTCTATGACGAGACTCCAGAGCCCCGTGAAGCTTAGCCTTGAGAATCGATTGCCTTGCGAGGGTATTGGGAGTTGAGAGTCTTAAAAGCAGCAGCAACGGTGGTTCAGACAGGCTCCGTGACGAGACGAGACACCAGAGCCATGTCTATTTTGTAGGAACCTTAAAATTCAGAGCGCCAGCTTGAGAATCATAAGATTGAGACTCCACAGCCTTGCGAAGCTGCACTTGAGCATCAGGTGTGGGGAGTGGGGAGTGACGGGCAGGGAGTGGGGGAGTAGGGAAAAGAAGTGGGAAAAATGCTTGTTTTGGGGGACTCGCAAATAGCTTAGGGAAGGTGGAGAGAAAGTGGAGAGTGCGGAGAGAGAGGAGGCACACAAACGTACACTTACCTCTTCAAATACTCCTCTTTGAGTTCTCGCTAGTTAATTTGTCAAGCTTTCGCCCCAAGAGCTCTGAGAAGCTCAGCCTGAGCTTCGGGGCAGAAGGCAGATGCGCTGCGGCGAGCACAGGGCAGGCAGAAGCGCTGCGAGAAGAAGAAGCTGCAGGCAGGCGAGCAGCACACAGGGGCGCGGCAGAGGGGAGAGAGGAGAGAGAGGAGGGAGAGGAGAGAGAGGAGGGAGAGGAAAGAGAGGAGAGAGAGGAGAAAGGGGACAGAGGAGGCAGACTTTCTCTTACCTCTTTGAATACCCGCTCCTTTATTCGTCAAGCTTTCGTGCCAAGCGCTTTGAGCAGCTCTGCCTGAGCCTCGGGGCAGAAGGCAGACGCGTTGCGGCGAGCGCAGGGCAGGCAGAAGCGCTGCGAGAAGAAGAAGCTGCAGGCAGGCGAGCAGCACACGGAGGCGCGGCAGATGGAGCAGGCAGATCCGAGGAAGAACGCGCGACTTGGATGGGACGAGCCACACCCGAATGGATCCCGGCAGATGTAGCCGTCCTCGAGAAACCTGGCGGGGGTATCACCAATGATCATTACCAGGAACGGACATTGAGCCAGAGGCAGAGGCGGAGTCAGGAAATAAGACAGGAACAAACATTGAGCCGCACTCGAATGGATCCCGGCAGATGTAGCCGTCCTCGAGGAACCTGGTGTCACCGGGATGAGTATCACCACACCAGGAACGGAGGTTCGTACCAAGCCAAGAATGAAGGTTAGGATTTAGGACATAAAGCAGGCAGATGTAGCCGTCCTCGAGGAACCTGGTATCAGCAGGAAAGGGCATCACCGGGAACGGAAGTTACAAGTAAGCAGCGCACGCATTGAGAACACTTACGCGATCTGCGGTGCGAATGGCGGCCGCCGGCCCAGGTAGTCGTAACGCGCTTCGAGTTTGCACAGCGTGCACGTGAAGATGGTTTCGCGGGACTTTTCGACCGTCGTTCGGTCCACATCAGAAGATTCCATGATCGCAGTCCGTACAAAGAAACGGGACCCGTGCGAAGAGGCGGAGCGGGAACCAAACGAAGAACAAAAGCAGCTGCAATGAGCACTCGTTCACATCGAGATGCTCCAACTGGGTCTTGCGAGGATCGCTTTCTCCAAATCCCTATCTACCACGACCAAGTCGATCGCCATGGCGTCATCCGCTCTCTCCAACGCTCACGCGTGTCCGAGCATTTCCGCTCCATAACGAGATTGAAAAAAACAAGCAGAAGCTAAGGTCCTTGTACACGTTTCCAGCAAAATCGTTAACCCCTTTAAACAAGATTTGATGATTTGCTCATGTGTAAAGTTTGTTTCAGAACTCGACTCTTATTAGAACAGTTCATTCAGATACGCAGCTCCGCTATCGCCACTAGATTTGGGATGTTTTTTTCACTAAATTCACTAGCTTCGGCAAGCTGGCAACAGAAATGAGCTTCTTTGCCACGCTGGAAGTCAAGCCGCTCATCAAAATTCCATTCACGCTACCCAGGGCAGGCATCACGCTATGATTGGCTAATGGCCCATTGACTGTCTCGTCAGCAAAGCCAGCACTTTCAGTTCTTCCAAATAGATTTGTAACCGTACGTGAGAGCTTTGAAAACAACTGAACCGCGCAAATCACAATCACACAAGACCCGCAAATTTTGCTACTCTGTGCTGTACAAACCGAGCCGTGATGCTGTCCCGTTGAGTGGAGCACGGCAGCAGCCAGGGCACTGGGGGCCAAGACACAATCCTGCCCAACCATGGCTCGTTCTGGGCCACGGGGCAGAACGAAAGCAAAGAACTCAACTGACGTCGTGCCGCGTCTCTTGTTTCATTTCAAATTCCTCCAACGCTCTCTGCTTCCACCAACACCCGTCTCACACTTGTCAAGTTGGAAACAGACACTAGGTTTCCACTCCCACGGCTTCGAGTTCTTTCCAGTTCCTATTGACGAAACTCGTCTCGTCTTCGCCGACGTGGATTCCATATCGCGCCCTACCTGCTATCATCGTCCCTGATGGTTCTTTCACGATCCTGTCTCAACTCGAAATAGCTTTTCCGTAGATTCTTTTCTGCTATGCGGAAACGAACACCGGAGCTCTGCTTTCGTCATTGCTTCTCAAGCGCATTTCTTGGTCTTGAAGCTGTTCTGCCAGAACAGACTATCGCCAGTCCTACGTAGCGTTGCAATAGATTCGACGGAGAAAACAAGGGCGGTAAAATTCTACTAATTATTGTTTCGCAATAGATGTAATATCGAACGTCTCTAGGCTTCATCAAACATGGCGGCACCTGGAGCGATAATCATTACTAGAGCTCTTCTGCTCTCCACCGCACTCCTTTCCACGATTACCACTGGCGATACTACTATTACCAGCACCTTTGGTCGTTCGAATTCGATTCCTAGTACCAGCTACGTTGAGATATTTTCAAAGGCCTTCTCTAGACGTTTTCCTTACGGAGCCAGCGGCAGCGGAACACCTGATCTCCCTCTCGGTTCGTCACCCGTCCCGACAGCTATAGTAACTGACACCGCTGCAATAACACGTCCTAAATCGAATAAAATCGGATATCGTCTTCCGCATCGCATGGCTGGCGCTCGAATCAGAATCACAGACAACCCGCAAGCAGAAAATCCTCAAGATTTTGTCGAAAAACACCCCACTTCAGCCAGCAAAGACGAGCCGCCAACTTCCAAGTTAACTTTGCCTCGACCTACTCCGCATGCACCACTTCCGCCACCGATGACGCTGTTGGGAGGTCCGCGCAGGGGTTACGTGCCTGTTAGGAGGCGGAATCCCAGCGGCGGTCTCCAATCGAGTCGCCAGATTAGCCCGAGTGACGGCACCCGCCACCGTCAACTGCGCGATCGCGACAGGCAGGCTGAGGAGGAGGATGGCGAGGCTGGCATGACCGAAGCTGGAGTGACCGAGGCTGGGCAATCCAAAACAAGCCCCGACCTGTACTATAACGGAGGGCCTGTTATCGCGGATCCGGTCGTCTACCTCATCTACTACGGCACGTGGCCTGAGAATTCCGGAGCTGCCATTATCGATAATTTCGTGCAGTCGCTGGGAGGGAACGCGAGCAGGCAGGGAGGGCCGAGGGGTGAGAGCAGCGTGAGCGGCTGGTGGGCGATCACCACGCATTACTTTATGACACGGGCTGACCGCAAGCTGGCGTACGTCACTCCTAAGGTGGGTGACTTCTTGTGACTCCTAAGGAGGTGGGGAAGAGGGTACCTTCTCCCCCCCATTCTCCCCTCCTTCCCCCTTTACTTTCCCTCAACCCCATGCATGTCTTCGTGCAATTCCCATCTGTCAGCAGCACCATGCGTCGCCCTCGACATCCATACTCCATTCCTAGCTCATCCCGATTTCATTTCCCTCCTCCCCTCCATCCATACCCGTCTTTCCCTCCATCCATCCCGTTTCCTCCCTCCGAACCACTCTGCAGGTTCGGTTTGGAGGTTCGGTAGTGGATCAGGGCTCCATCGGCCATTCCTTCTCCGACACCGAGATTGCCAGGAGTGAGTCGTGTTGACTTCTATCTAAGTCGAAGCATTGAGAAAGCTTGGAGTGTGTTGCCGATCAGCCCTCCTCTGCCAACGCCTGTTTTCCCTCCGCTCTGCCTTTCCTCCTCCCCTCTGCATTCCTCCTCCGCTCTGCCTTCCCTCCACCGCTCTGCCTTCCCTGCTCGTCCTGCTGCAGACTCCACATCAAGCACCAAGAACGCTTGAAGAGTGTTGCCGATCAGCCCTCCTCTGACAACGCCCTGTTTTCCCTCCGTCCTGCCTTCCCTCCTCCGCTCTCCCTTCCTTCCTCGTCCTGCTGCAGACTCCGCATCAAAATCACCACATTCCCTGCGTCCCCTCCGGCCCAAGTGCCTTCGCCCCTCCATTTCAGTCCCCCCCCCCCCGTCGTTACCATAGTTTTTCCCCATCGTCTCCTCCCCTCCTCTCCTCCCCCGTCTTCCTCTGGTCGTTAACCGCAATGTGGGCACGGCACGACCGACCAACCGGCTGCCGCACAACCCAATCGCTGCCACCAGAGACCCAATCGAAGGAGAAGGGTATGCGATTGGGTAGTACAGCTCCAGAGCTTCAAAACCTTCCCCTTCGTCTTCCCGACCCCGTTCCCCCGTCCCCCTTTCCCCCGCACTCCAGTTGTCGATCGCAACGTGGGCAAGGCCAACTGTCTGCCGTCCGATCCAAGGGGGGCCTACATCGTGCTCACGAGTGTTGACGTGCCCTCAACTTCACATGCCTTCTCACCCCCAACCTCCAGTTGTAGACCACAACGTGGGCAAGGCCAACAGATTGCAGTCCTCGTGTCTCCTCTGCTCGCCTCCGCATGCCCTGCCTTCACTCGTTTCCCGGTCTCTCTTCTTCCCCTTCCCTCCCCCTCCCCCACCCCCCCCAACCTCCAGTTGTCGATCGCAACGTGGGCAAGGCCAACCGGCTGCCGTCCGATCCGAACGGGATCTACATCGTGGTCACGAGTGCTGACGTGGATGTGTGGGAGTTCAGCCGCTGCAGCTATTGCGGGTGGCATGCACAGATGATGGACATGCGCACTGGCAGCCCCATAGTGTATGCATTTGTGGGGCACCACTCGCTGTGCTGCCAGTACAGCAAGTAAGTGTACCATTGCACTGTGCTCGTATTGCCAGTGAGTCACCACTCGCTGTGTGGCACCATTCCCTGTCTTGACAGTGCGGCTTATAAAGAGGACAGATGATGGGCATGCACACGGGCAGCCCCGTAGCATGCGCGCTCGCCGGCCACCACTCCTTCTGCTGTCCGTGCATGCAGCTCCTCCCCCAACGGGCTGCCAGCCATTGGGTTTTGAGACGTCTAAGAACTCAAAACTTTTGAGACGACTCAGACCTCAAAACTTGAGATGTCTCAGAACTGCCCGTTCATTCAGCTCCTCCCCCAACGGGCTGCCAGCCAGCCAGCCATGGACAGCATGGCGTGCAGAACAGCATCGGAACACCATGGTGATAGTTGCAAACCTTTTGAGTCGACTCAAAAGTGGGCTTCCCAAATATTGGTGGTCCCAAATATCGGGTAACACCATGGTGATAGTTGTGAACCCGTGGGCTTCCCAACTATCACCACTAAAGCTGCTGATGCTGACCCTTTCCTTTCCTCCCTGCCCACCACCATGCTCCTCCCCCTCCACCCCCATTCCCGCCTGGCAGCTCCTCCTTCAACGGGCTACCAGCCATAGACAGCATGGCGAGCACCATCGCTCATGAAATCACTGAAGCTGCTGACTGGGTGACGCCTCCTGCCTGCTAGACCCCCCTGCCCACTCCCATGTCCTCCTCCCTCCCACCTCCCATCCTCCACTTGCAGCTCCTCGGGCTACCAGCCATATACAGCATGGCGAGCACTATCGCCCACGAGATTACAGAGGTCGCCACCGACCCAGACATGGGTTCTCCCAACCACTGCCACTAAAACTACTTCCCATCCCGCCACCCCGCCCATCTCCCCATTCCCATTGGCAGCTCCTCCCCCAACGGACTACCAGCCATAGACAGCATGGTGAGCACCATTGCCCACGAAATCACCGAGGCTGCTGCTGACCCCTCCTGCCTGCTTAACCCTCGCATTTCCCTGCCACCCCCCTGTCCCTCAAATCCCACCCCATCCCACCCTGGCCGCTCCTCCCCTACCGGGCTGCCAGCCATAGACAGCATGGTGAGCACCATCGCCCATGAGACGACAGAGGCCACCACCGAGTACACTGGGCTGGGCTCTCCCCGCGACCACCACCACTGAACCTCTACCCATTTCCTTCCCCGTTCCCCATCCCCATCACCCTGGCAGCTCCTCCCCCAACGGCATGCCAGCAATAGACAGCATGGTGAGCACCATCGCCCACGAGATCACTGAAGCCACCACCGATCCGGACATTTCCTCGGGCTGGTTCGACGCTTCCGGGCAGGAAAACTCCGACAAGTGCGGCTCCTTCTACGGGCAGCCGGAAGAAATAAAACGCGCCAGCGGCCCCAGCAGCAGCACCAGCGGCGGCAGCAGCAGTGGTACCAGCAGCAGCAGCGGTAGCACAACCAGCAGCAGCAGCCGCCACAGGGAGAACGCGTTTTTCAAATCCAACTTTGCAGCCCCTCAGAGCGATGAGTACGAGTACGAGTATAACATGGTTGGTAACCACGGCATGCGTTACATGGTGGAGGGCAACTGGGATATACTCACACGCATGTGCCAGATCCAAGGAAAGCCTCACGACCCTAGGTCCACCGAACCTGAACGGCTGGCTCCGAACCAGGGCTTGGCTCCGAACCAGGATTTGGTTGGAGGTTCGACAGAAGGCGGATGGAGAGCGTCGTTTTTAAGTGATTTCGCCGCTACAGGTTCCGCAGCCCTTAGTTCTGCTGCTCCAGGCTCGGAATATATTGTCATCCCTCCTGACGATGGCGACAGCATCGGATCCCTGCCCCCTCCCAGCTCTGCCGCCCCAAGCTCAGCCGCCCCAAGCTCTGCTGCCCCAAGCTCTGCCGCTCCAAGCTCCGCTGCTCCAAGCTCTGCTGCCCCAAGCTCTGCCGCCCCAAGCTCCGCTGCTCCAAGCTCTGCCGCCCCGAGCTCTGCCGCCCCAAGCTCTGCTGCCCCTAGTTCGGAGTATGGCCCAGGTTCGGAATATGCCCCAGGCTCGGAGTATGGCCCAGGTTCGGAGTACGCCCCAGGCTCGGAGTATGTGTACTACCCACCTGGATCTGAAGGCGAGATTGGCTCATTGGCTTCTCCCAGCTACGCCGCCCCTAGTTCCGCCGCCCCTAGTTCCGCTGCCCCTAGTTCCGCCACCCCTAGTTTTGCCGCCCCTAGTTCTGCCGCCCCTAGTTCTGCAGCCCCTAGTTCCGCCGTCCCTAGTTTCGCCGCCCCTAGTTCTGCCGCCCCTAGTTCTGCCGCCCCTAGTATCTCCGCCCCTAGTTCCGCCGCCCCTAGTTCCGCCGCCCCTAGTTCCGCTGCCCCTAGTTCCGCCGCCCCTAGTTCTGCCACCCCTAGTTCCGCCGCCCCTAGTTCCGCCGTCCCTAGTTCTGCAGCCCCTAGTTTCGCCGCTCCTAGTTTCGCCGCCCCAAGTTCCGCCGCTCCTAGCTCCGCCGCCCCTAGTTCCGCGGCCCCTAGTTCCGCCGCCCCTAGTTCCGCGGCCCCTAGTTCCGCGGCCCCTAGTTCCGCCGCCCCTAGTTCTGCCGCACCTAGTTCTGCTCTTCCAAGCTCTTCCCCTCCCAGCAATGCTGCCCCCAGTTCTGCTGCTCCCAGTTCAAACAGGGCACCTGGCTCGGAAAATGCACCAGGCTCGGAAGTTGCACCGGGTTCAGATGCAGCACCTGGCTCGGAAACAGCGCAAGGTTCGGAATTGGCCCCTGGTTCGGAAGCAGCTCCTAATTCGCAGGTTGCTCCAGGTTCGAACGGTGCTCCGGGATCAACTAATGCACCAGCCTCAGAAAATGCTCCAGGCTCTGAAAATGCTCCAGGCTCGGAAAATGCTCCAGGCTCGGAAGAGGCTCCAGGCTCGGAAGAGGCTCCAGGCTCGGAATATGCTCCAGGCTCAGAAGATGCTCCAGGCTCGGAGAACGCTCCAGGTTCAGAAAATGCTCCAGTCTCGGAAGAAGCTCCGGGTTCAGAGAATGCTCCAGGCTCGGAAGAAGCTCCAGGCTCAGAGAATGCTCCAGGCTCGGAAGAGTCTCCAGGCTCGGAAGGATCTCCAGGTTCAGAGAATGCTCCAGGCTCAGAAGATGCTCCAGGTTCAGAGAAAGCTCCAGGCTCAGAAGATGCTCCAGGTTCAGAGAATGCTCCAGGCTCAGAAGATGCTCCAGGTTCAGAGAATGCCCCAGGCTCAGAAGAAGCTCCAGGTTCAGAAAATGCTCCAGGCTCGGAAGATGCTCCAGGTTCGGAGTACGCTCCAGGCTCGGAATATGCTCCAGGTTCGGAGTACACTCCAGGCTCAGAAGATGACCCTTATGCTCCAGGGTCGGAAGGTGCTCCAGGTTCAGAAGCTGCTCCAGGCTCGGAATATGCTCCTGCTCCAGGCTCGGATTATGCTCCTGCTCCTGGCTCCGAGTATGCTCCTGGCTCGGAGTATGTTCCACCTATTGAAGACCTCCCACCTGATTTGGAGCCTGCTCCAAGCTCCGAGGATGGACCTGGTTCAGAATATTATCCAGGTGGATCAGATTCATTGAGTTACGCACCTGGATTCGGAGATTCTTCAGGTGGATTGGATTCAGGGAGTAACGCACCTGGGTTCGGAGACTATTCAGATGGATCGGATTCAGGTAGTTACGCACCTGATTTTGGAGATTTCGCGAGTGGATTAGATGCAGGGAGCAATGCACCTGCATTCAGAGATTATTCGGGTAATCTGGATTCAGGAAGCAGCGCACCAGAATTTGGAGATTATTCAGGTGGATCGGATTTAGATAGCTACGCGCCTGGAGTGGGAGAATATGCGGGTGAGAGTCTTTGAAATCTAGGCAGCCGAGACCTGATGAGCTTTCGGAACCACTCTTTCATTACTAAGAGAATAAGGACGGATTCACGTCTTTGCACTCGATAGCTTCCTGCATTTCAGCTCTTATATCACATGCGGTGTTGTTCTGATATGGCTATGGATGGCGGCATATGGTTCTGCTACTAAGAATCTGCTCACAGCGTTCCTAGCATAGTGACAGCTGTGGAAAATACTGTGGGTGGGATGTGATGTGAACAACCAACAGGCTCAGTTTTCTTCCCTGAACCCTACCCAACCGTTCTTAAATGTGCGGAAACACAGTGATACGAAGCATTTTCCCTAACCTCAGTGAATCAAAACTGGAAGTGTCATGTCTATGTTCAAGGGGAAATGAGGAGTTACCGAAGTCCAGAATATTTAATGTTTATTTATATAGTCACCAAGAGTTAAATGTTTGAGGTGTTCATATTGGCTTCACACGGCCTCGTAGTGAGTACAATAATGGAACCAGCCAGTGACCTTGGACGTGCGCGCTTCGTGAAGTGCAGCTTCCTTCCCATAAGATTTTCGTGACCTCGAGTTACTTTCTCCTTCACTGTCTTGTTCGCGACATTCGCCTCAAACCACCAAATGGCGAACTTTTGCGACAAGCACAGCACACCCCTACCCGAATAGTTGGTGAGGGGGGGGGCAAGCAGCATTTTCTCCCATCCCCAACAAAAATGGCGCGAAAACGGGCTGTGTGATCCCCTGTGGAAATGGCACCGCCCAGGGCTCCTCCAACCAACATCGTGTATTCGTAGGTCAAGCTCTTGAGAGCAAGAGAGAGGAGAGGGGGAAGTGAGCACTGAGCAGAGGCAAAAGCATGTAACACCAGCTGTGCTTGCGCGAATTGGAGTTAGGTCGAATCGAGTTGAGTCTCGAAGTTAGGTCAAGTTATAGTCTGGTGTCCAGGACTACGGCCATAGAGTTGAATAGCGCCCAGCTACTTCTGAAAGAGCATTTCCCGGACTGTTTATTCACACGCATTGTTATCCATGCACGAATGCTAGCCCAATGCGCATTTGCGACAATGGTAACATGACTAGCATTATCGCAAGGTCTAACAGTCTCGCGCCAATGTCCGTCTAGCTTTTAGCTCAATACACCATTTCGCATATTTTTTTATCGCGACTAACAGAAATGGCCCACAGGTTTGGCTCAAGTCGTTTAGAGAGGCGAAACAGTATCGCGGACGACTCGGACCCATGCGCGGGCGACGGCAACGGGCAGGGGCGCTACGGCCAGGGGGAAGTCGGCTGGTGCGGCTCGCTCTTTTCGCGCGCACCCAAGCGCGGCGGACCCGCGGGCCGCTTGCGCGGGTTCACATGGGACCCGTGGCGGAATGATTCGGGGAGCGGCGGTGGCGGCGGAGGCGGAGGCGGAAGTAGTGGCTGGGGATGGGGAAGCGGAGGCGATGGCAACATGTCACCGCGCTCTCCGCGCACTCCCCGCACTCCGCGCTCCCCGCGCGCGCCGATAACCCCTCGCAGACGCCGGCACGATGGCAGTTACCGACCCGGCACGCCGTCCCATCGTCCTGGCTCTCCTTATAAGAACGCGCCGCCATATTTCCTCGGCGGGCAACCCCTCGCCTCCGTGGCCGCTTCTGGGTCATACGATCCTGCTAACGGGGGATCGCTTCCCGACGGAAACAGCGGCGGGTTTTGGGGAGGTGGTCCGGCGCTGAGCGCGTCCCGGCGAGCGGGGCGGCAGCAGGGAGGCGGCAGAGACGGCGGCAAGGGCGGGGCAGGGGGTTTCCTGGTGATGAGCGATTGGCTGACGTGTTCGTTACAGTCCCTGCTACAATCGCGTATGGAGCAGCTGCATGCGTCGGAACAGGTGAGCCGGCGGCAGCTGATGGCGGAAACTGCGGAGATGGTTCTCAATGTGCTCGACGCGCGTTCCTCAGACGATGCGCTCGCGCATCGCTCCGAAGTCTCCGCGCTGCGCCGCCTCCAACGGGAGTCGTTCAGCGACCTATTGCACCTTCGCGACCGGCTCACGCGGCTCGAGCTCCTCGCGGACGAGTTCTCCCTCGGCCAGCACCGCGTCGCGCCCGCCGCGTTCCTCGCCGCAAACTCCGGCCGCACCGAGGTCTCGGGCCGCATCACCATCGGGTCCGCGCTCGTCCCAACAGGCGGCCTCCGCTCGCACCGCTCCCGAGCCGCGATGGAAGCGGCGGGACTGCGCTCCGGCGTGCAGATGGCTTTAAATCTCGCGTCCCTCTGCCGGTCGTCGGACCGCCTTAGTACCGTTCTAGGAGTCGGGCCGCCGGACCCGCTAGGCCCGGCATTAGCGCTAGGCGGCCCGGTGGTGCTGCAGAAGGCGGTGTATCGGGCGCAGGTGGCGGAAGGGTTGGCGGTGACCGCCGCGCCGATGGGCGCAAGCGGAGCGGACCTGGTGGGGGAAGGCTCCGTGGGGGCGGGAGTGCGCGGAGATAGTGCATCGGCTCAGGTAAGCTGACTAGCACGCACCTACGTGTTTCTGATTTCTATCCGTTATCGGCTTTGACATCCTCGTCTCTCTTCCTTGTTCCGTTATCCTTGTCTAAATCAAGCCTCTTTTTTTCCCTGTTCTTCCCGCTCCTCCCTGTCTTCCTATTGGTCGCATATCCGAAGCAGCCACGTGGCCTCACCACGTTTAGCAGCGGCACGATCCCGCTCCTCCAATCCATCCGCGGGTCAGCCCTCGCGGTAACCGTCGACACGCCCGTCCCCGCGCTTTCCCCCTTCCTGCCCGCGGTCTCCCGCGCTCTTTCCGCCATTCCGCGCGCGCTTCCTCCATCCATCGCCCGCGCCCTGGGCCTCCGCTCCTCGCGCCAATCCCCGTACACCCCCCTCCGCCCCTCCTCCTCCCGCTCCGCTTCCGCGGATCCGCCCGCGCTGTCGTTTACTGCGGGAAAGCTAGTCGCGGGGTGGGGGGTTCCGCTGGAAGATCCTTCCGCGCTCGCCGCCGCCGCGGCGGATACTGCGCTCTGCACCTCCGCCATGGGGCATCTTGCGCTCCGCTTTTCCCCCACTCTGCGCGTTTCCGCCGCCGCCGCGTCGCACTCGTGGCCCGCGCCGCCCGCGCCGTCCTTCCCCGGACTGCACTGGTCAGAAATGGGTCCCCTGGTGCTTCCGCGACTGGGGGGAATCTTCCGCAGCCCGCACCCGCGCGGCGGGGGGCGCGAGGGGGGGAATGCAGGTGGTGGCGGAAGCGGGGTCGACAACAGAAGGGGGAGCGATGGGCGGAAGATTCGGGGGAAGCGGTTTGGGCGCGGAGTCCCCGCGGAGTTGCGCCAGTGGGGGAGTGGATAGAATAGTAGTGGAAAGTATGAGGGCCGGGGGCGGGGGTGGAAGCGGAGGTATGGGTGGTATAGGGGGAAGCGGGAACGTGCTGGAGGGCGCAGGTGACAGTATTGATGCCACGAGCGCATGGCTGATGGACATGGGTGACTATAACGAGAGCAGACCAGAGTCTTTTGGCGTGGCGCTGGCTTTTGAGAAGGAGCTTCAAGGGGGAACAACTGTTTCCGCGTGGGCGCAGCGGTCTAGGTGGGCGGGGGAGTATGGGGGCGGAGTGGCGGCAGGGGGAGGTGGAAGGGGGGGAGAGGAGGCGGAAGAGGGATTTCTGGGGAGACTGGGCGCGGATTGGCAGTGGGCGGTGGCGGTAACGGGAAGAGCAGCAGGGGAAGAGGAGGGGGAGAGAGTACGGAAAAAGGAGAGAGGAGGGGGGGGGGGGAGGAGGGGAAGGAGGAAGAGGGGTGAGAGCGGCGAGGGTAGTTGGGTACAGGGTGAGTGTTGGGCAGGGGGTACCAGAGGGTGGTTTACCCCCGGATTTGGTGGAGAGCAGTGAGGTGTCGATAGGGGGAGTGGGGAAGGGGGGCGGGGCGCGGAGGCTGTGGCAGGGGGAGGGGAGTGTTGTGGTGGACTGTGGAGGCGGAGTGGTGCTGGAGCCGGGGGTGGTGATTGCAGGGAATGGGGAGCTGGGCGTGCACACTGCCTTCATGCTGCGAACCACACTCAACATCTAGACTGCGTTTGGTGGTGGTGGGAGTGGTGGTGGACTATGGTGGTGGGAACTGGTGATTGCCGGAAACGGGGAGCTGGGCGCGTTCATCGTGCCTTCATGCTGCGAACCACACTCAACATCTGGATATCCTCTTTTTCTTATCTCTGCTGGTTGGATCGAGGAGAGTGGTGCTGGAACTGGGAGGAGGGCGGGTTGAGTGTGGGTGGTGACTTCGGGGGAAACAGTGACCTAGGGGCGTTTACGCCCTGCCGTCATGCTGCGAGTGGTGTTGATAGGACCAGCAGCAAACAGCTTCACTGACCACTGACGCACTTAGGATTGACTGCGGGGTTGACTGGGGGTTGACCGAATCTTGACCGGGATCTTACGGGGGGTTAACTGTGGGGGGAGGAGGATGGGGGGGGGGGGGGGGGGAGGAGGGGGAGGGTAGGGCAGGGAAGGGGGGGATTTAGGTTGCTGCAGTAGGCTCAGCAGACTGACTGACAGGGAGATGGAGTTCAGCACTCTCTACAAGGTCTGGTAGCTGTCAGGAGTATGATTGGAGCCACAATGTTTGCAGACGTTTTTTCGGCAACTGTCCGGCGGTTGGGGAAGATGGTGATGAGAAAAAAAATTGCAGTTTTTTGGAAGACGGTGGCCCTTCAGGGGAGGGAAATAAAGGCAGAAACGGTAGAGCGAGGGAGGGGGAGGGAGGCAGGCTGGTCCTTCAGGGGAGGGAGGCAGGCAGGCTGGTCCGCGGAAGTTAGGTTATAACTTATAAGCGCCGTGGTGAGGGCCGCTGCTCATACCACTCATTCGTTAGGACCTGCTTTTACTTGTTGATGACAGGACTGCTGCTGAGCATATAGCCTAAGAAGGTGTAATGCTGGTTCTTGTACCGGTTGCAATCAATTCATGCTCTTTGAAAATACTCTTGCTGATGGATGGAATGGAACATTACAAAAGCCTCCTCTTTCCTAGCTTTAATTTACTACCGAGCTGCACTTATTTACTAATGTAGCTACATGCATGAGCGGTGCTTCTGCAATGTTCCCCCATCACCCTCATCATCCAGTCCTTTCACAAGCCAAGGTAGAAGGTAAATCACACCCTCCCACCAATCACTCTCCCTGAGAGCGCCCCGTCAGCCCCGGAGAATCCTAGGAACAAGTCATCATTGGTGATCCCTTGGATCGATGCCAGCACATCCGCCACGTCAGCAGCTGACGCCCTGACGACATTGGCCAGCGACCAGGACACAGGGCTCATGGGCACCCACGTGCCAGGCAGGGCGAGGGCTGCTGAAGCAGCAGTGCTGCTGCAGGCGTTGCCCTTGAAAATGGCCTGAGAGTCTGGGGCCTTGGTTACTCCTGCTGCGTACAGGTAGTATGTGAGCAGATAGTCCGAGCCACTGCATTTTTGGGGGAAGGAAAGGTAGCAGAGAGGAGAAATTGGAGAATAGAGCATCATGAGATAGGGATCAACGTTGTTCATATAAGAAACGGATAAGAAACGGAGCAAAAACAGATAAGAAAGCCTGGTGGGGAGGGTAACTGCTGGACGGTGGGTCAACGTGAGTCAACGCGAGTCAAATTACATCTTGAGGATCTGAATATCAGCAGCGCCGGCTTGGAGAGACAGCAGGCTGTTGCATGACGTCAGCACGGCGCGCAGCATGCCTGCCTGCTGGGGCAGAAGATTCGCGAGATTCCCCACCACTCTGCCGCTCAAAGCTCCGTTCAGAGCGCCGTTCAAGGCGTTGAGCATCCCGGCGAGGGCGGACACGTTCCCGTTGAGCCCCGCAACTCGCTGCGTCACAGCCGCCAGCCGCTGCCTCACCGCCGCGCGGATCGCCGCGCTCCGACTCGCGGAAGCCGCTGCGGTGGCTGCACTCGACACGCCCGCCGAGCCTACGCGCGAGCCTGCGCCCGAGCCTCCGCCCGAGCCGATTATCCCCGCCAGGTCCTTGTTCAGAGCGGCGATGCCGATGCTGATAGAAGATATGTTGGACCGAATCCCGGAAATTTGAGAAAGCAGATCTGTGACGTTCAGATTCGACCCTGAGATGTTCAGCGCGTTAAGATTGGCGAGGCTCCCGTTTTAAAGCAGCGAGGTTGGCTTGTAGCGCGGATATCTGCGCCTGGAGCGCGGCGTCCGCGGTCGACGCGTTGCTGTTGAGGGCCGCCGAGATCTGCTCGAGCGATTTCTTGAGAAGCTCGTCGAGAGACGCGATCTGGCCGTTGAGGGACGACTGGAGGCCGGAGAGCGTCGAGTTTAGCGCCGCTGCGGGGCTGGTGCTGCTGGCTGCTGCGGCTGCCGCGGCGACGGCTGAATTCAAGCCGGGTGGAAGGCGGTTAGTGGGAAGACCGGCGCTGGGGAGAAACCGGCCTGCTTCGGCCTTTTGTGTTGCCAAAAACACTGCAATTATTGAAAAAAAAAAAAAAAAAAAGGTTTTGGAGCACGAAGTGCAACTGAAAGCGTTATTGCGTAACGGAAATGTCTTAAATGTTCAGTGCTGAAAACCGCGCTTTGCAAACACGCCTGGAGGTGGCTCACCTGTGACGAGCAGAGCGACTAGCCCTAGCGTGAAGGGAGCTGCAGTGCGCGCCATGATTGCCGAGATAGGACGCGAACTTCGCGGAGCTACTAATAGAGTGCTACCTGGTGAGCTTTCTCGGGAAGTATCAGTTTGTAATGTGAGACGGAACGAGAGGTGCAGTGAGCAGCGCGTAATGAGAATCGAGAACGGAGGGCGCAATGTACGGGAGTGTGCTGCTTTGGTATTTCAATGCAGAGGCTATTTTGAGAATCGATGCCCACACAGATTTCTAGTGCTCTATTTATACATTTCTGAGAGAGGGGGTGTGGCCCTTGATTTTGCATGAGGCAGTCAGGCTGGATCTGGAAATTCGGGAATTTCAGCACGGACCGCGGATTGTGTGTCTCTGATTGGTTTATCCGCTACCGTCGAGTCGCACGCTGGGAGGCTAGAGAGCGGTGCTGCTGCTGCTGAGGAATGGTCGGACGGAGGTGAGAGAATACTGTATGCGGTGCTGTGCTGTGCTGTGTGGTGTGCTTTTGACGGTGTTTGTGAACGAGGCAAGAACCAACCGGCCAACCAGAGCACATTGGTGAAAGGCTGATGGATTTCAGTTGACGAAGCTTCGCTTGAAGGTCGAACCCTTTGCAGATATAGAACTCTGGACACAGACTGGGAAACAATAATATAAAATATTATTTGCTTAACTACAGGTAGCTCCCACATGCGAGCACCTTGGTGCCTCTTTTATACCCAGCTCGACATCTGGTAAGAGGACTGAAAAGATTTGTTTTTCTGGTAGGATGGAAGCTCAATCCTCTTTCCCCCTTTTTCCTGCTCTGCCTCAAAATAGGACCGTATGAAGGAGAGAAGACTTAGACAAGGCGATGGAGACTCGCGCTGAGATGCGAGCAGTGGAACAACCGGACAGTGTGGCGGATGTGATGTTGCTAGGGTTTCGGGTTTAGAGTTCTGATCCGGCTGACTTGCCCAATAATGTAGCGTGTAGGGCATCACCCAGTCCTTTACACTCCCTGTCTGACCGTGGCAGAATGGGGTTGCTAACCGCTGTCAGAATCACTGTGCAGGAATGAATGAACTATGAATGTGTTAGGTACAAGTACTAACCCTAGAAGTGATGTACCCCTTGTAGGCTAACCCATTATAGCCTAGAGAGAACACAAATATATAGTTTGACACACCCCCGTAGGCTAAGTGGGAGATAGCAAACACAACAGACGGTCACAAGACCAGCCAAGCAAGAGAACAAAGCAAAGCAAAGCTCAGGGTGGATCTCAAGGACACCACACAATCTGAGCACAAACAAACGGACACAAGGCCAGTTCACATGCAGAGTTATAATAGCAAGGCAGTACACTGATCACAACCTAGCAAGAGTAAACAAGCAGGTATAAAGATATATATCAGTGTACAACAAGAGCAAGTCAAGCAACCAGCAAGTGAGGCAGAGAGGGCATAAGCCCAAGAGCAGTGCAGAAACGCTGATGATCACCACACCCAAGGGCCTTGGTGAACACATCAGCAGTGTTGGCCGGCGAGGCCACGTACGAAAGGCGGAGCTGACGATGCTGCTACAGCTCACGCGCAAGGAAGTAGCGAAGAGCAATGTGCTTTGTTCTGTGCTCCAGTCTCTGCTCATGACACAAGGCAAGCACTGCCTTGTTGTCGACGTACAGAACTGGAGGAGAACGAGGCCGCTCCCCCAAGTCGGTCAGCAGGTAGGTCAGCCAGCGTAGCTCCTGTGCAGCCATGGCCCCTGCGTAGATCTTGGCCTCACATCTGGAACTAAGCATAGAAGAAGAACGAGTGGACCTCCACGAGACAGAACCAGAGCCAAGACTGAAGGTGTAACCCTGTGACGAACGCTGAGTCGCCTGGTCGTCGGCCCAAGAAGCGTCGGAGTGTCCTGTGAGTACCACTGAACCCTGTCCTCCAAGCACTAGCCCCATGCCCGATGTACTGCACAAGTAACGCAGTACCCGCTTCGCAGCATCCAAGTGCACCTTTCGGTGTCTACCGGGAGCCACGTAGCGAGCCAGGAGGCTAAGAGGGTACGCGAGGTCAGGTCGTGTGCACGTCATCAGGTACATGAGGCAACCCACAAGCTCTGGGTACGGACCACTCGGCTCTACGGACTCATCCGAAGGTGGAGCTGAGAGCGAGTGGCCGGTAGACGGAGGAGTGGGCTGTGGCGAGGAGAACTGGAAGCCGAAGCACCGACGGACCTGGTGCACCATGTGTGACTGAGTCAGGGTGATGGTGCGCCGCACTCTGTCCCGGGTGATCTGCAAGCCAAGATAGCTACGCAGCTCACCCAGGTCAGTGCAGGTGTGTCTCTCCTGCAGCTCCGCCTTCACTAGGGCCAGCGCCTCAGTGTCAGCAGTAGCAAAAACCAAGTCGTCGACGTACACTAGAACGTAGAACGGCGGCAGGGTAGTGTCGATGCGTAGAAATAGCGACGG